TCATCTCATCGTAGCTGCTCATCAATATTATCAAGTGCGTTTGGAAGAGGGATTCTCATCTCATCGTAGCTGCTCATCAATATTATCAAGTGCGTTTGGAAGAGGGATTCTCATCTCATCGTAGCTGCTCATCAATATTATCAAGTGCGTTTGGAAGAGAGATTCGTGTCATGGTTCGAATCATGATTAGTGGTTCGTTATAATATTTTCTCTCATAAAAAATACACGTAAAACAAAAATAGTTCTGAATCATGATTTTAAACGTACTAGTTAACTTTGCTACTACCTAATTAAAAATTATTATTCCTAGGGACGCACATATATATATTTAATAATATAATTTTAGTTTATCAAGATCTAGGTGCGATTTCTCTCTTGACTAGCCTTTATATATCAACCTTTGTAATCTTATCCATTCAGTGCTCTATATGCGTAAATACTATTAGAGATAAGAGTTATACAGAAACTGAGAGCGATCAAAAAAAAAAAAAAAAAAAAAATGAGAAAAAATGACTATCTTCCTCTTTTCGAAACAAAGTTAGCTAAGGGGCGTACCCTATTCCTATCGTTCGTTACAACAATCTTCTTTGGTATCTTCTCCATAGTTGTCTACAGAACAAGCTACATACCATCGAAAGAAGAAGGTTCCAGAAGATTTGCTTGGATTGGATTGTTTCTCGCTGAGCTTTGGTTCAGCCTTTACTGGTTTATCACTCTTGTCATTCGATGGAATCCCGTCTATCGTTACACTTTTAAAGATAGACTGTCACTCAGGTTTTTTATTTTATTAAAATATAATACTATTTTTAACACACCTCGTACTCAATTTTTTTATTTTATTAAAATATAATACTATTATTAGCACACATCTCAACCGTTTAAACTTCTGAAATGGATATTAATAATTAATACGGTATTAGAGCAAAATTTTTTGAGTAATTTGAACCCTATTGTATTTGACGAATGATGGTTAGGTACGAGGAGGTTTTGCCAAGCGTGGACATATTCGTGTGCACGGCTGACCCAACAGCGGAGCCACCGAGTATGGTGGTTAACACGGTGTTGTCGGTCATGGCTTACGACTATCCTCCGGAGAAGCTGAGTGTTTACCTCTCCGACGATGGGTGTTCGGACTTGACATTTTATGCCATGTTTGAGGCCTTGCGGTTCTCCAAGGAATGGCTTCCTTTTTGCAGGAAGTTTGGAGTGGAACCAAGATCGCCGGAGGCTTACTTCCAAAGAGCTAATTCTCAGCCACTCGGTGGTGATGCTGCCAAGGCCAACGAGTGGACCTCCATCAAGGTACGCGCTCGTATGCATGCTTCCATGTCCAACAAAATCCTGTATTTTCTTTGCATCCAATATTTATATTATATTTAACGGTTAAACATTTTATAAAATTTTTTTTATGGTACACGATAAAAATTCAGTTTGTAAATGGTTCATATTTATTTACATATTTATGTGTGTATATATATATATATATATATATATATATATATATTTATTCGCCTTTACTTTTTTTCCTTGTTTCTTCTGAACTGCAATGAAGAAATACGGAAAAGAAGAAAAATTAGTTATTAGTTAATTATGATGAATAACAATAAATTTATTTATATTTAATGAAATAATAATTTTAATATGTAACGTATAATATTACCCAATTGTAACTGACGGAAGACATAATAACAAAAGAATAAAGGCTAAAAATATTTAAAATCCGAACATCACAATAAGAAATTGAGGAACCAAAGAGATGGACCACCCATAGAGAGAACATGAAGAAAGGGTTGGAAAAGAACAACATAATAATGAAAATCTCAAGAAATCTAGACAATATAAAAAACAACTAAATCAGTATTAATAATTAGCCAATAGATGACAGTACCATAAATCCCAAATAACCCGGACAACAGCAACTACTGTTGAATCACCATTATGAGTTACCCAATACATGGCAACAATAAAAGAAAAATGCATCATCATCACCAGAGAAGAACAAATAAGTATGTAGATAAAATAATCATATATAAAAAATTAGGTTCAGGTATGTTTCTTCTATCGCTAACAACATATATCATGAGTAATTGTAATGTAAATCAACAGTGTCTTTGGCTATCAACTAAATTATTAAAGGGTTTGCATAAACTACCAAAGAAGGAAAACTGCAATTAAATAAAGAGAAGAGCATAAGAAAGATAAAATGAAAGAAGAAGAAAGACTGAAATTTTCTAGAAGCTAAAAAAGGGTATCCTGAGCAATTTCAATAATCGGGTTCATTGATATTCCTGGTATAGTAGATGCTATCACACATACAATCATACTCAATTCGATGGAATTGTTTAATCTTAAAGGGGATCTTCTATAATTTTGCACGTGAGGGGTTATTTCTTGGTTTCGTCCAGTTATTAATAACTTGATTATTTTTAGATAATAGTAGATAGAAACAACGCTCGTAAGGAGTCCTATTGAAACCAAGAAATATAGGTGAATTTAATATTTAAATAACAACATAAACCAGTGACTGAAATAAGAGCATAAACCAGAAAATAACATAAACAGTGACTGAAATTAAGTAAGAAATTCAGTAACACTGAAAATGTTAGGCCCCTTAACATCATAGTAAGAAATTCGGTAAATTATAAATATAAATCATATTTAAATAATAGTGATTGTAATAACTTAAATAACATAAACAGTAAACAACAAATGAAGATTTATAGGTTCAAAAAACGTTGGAGAAGAATAAGATAACAACATAAATCTCAAATAATCCAGGCAACATAAAAAACTGTCAAATTACTATTAACATTTACTCAATACATGGCAACAATAAAAGATAAATACATCATCATCACCAAAGAAAAATAGAACGCTGAGAAAAGTAGACGCTTCACAAATCAACAAAACAAATAAACTGTAAACTTAACTTATACTTAAATTGCATAAGTATTAAACAATAGGTTACATATAATATTAACAAAATCAATAAAAACACAATCATAACAACATAATACAATAACCAGATATATTAACAGCATAACATATTCACACAAAAAATCTTAATACCATAAGACATACAATATTTAAAACAGTTAAGAAACACGTGTAAGATTTAAGAAATGAATACCTCAGCCGAAGAATGGCAATGGATAGAGTAGATCCAGGACAACAACAGAAACTCCAAAACAGAGGCAACCAAACAGAAAAACCCAGTATTCAAAACTGACCAGGAGAAAAAAAAGGTAGAAAACATGGATTATAATAGTCCGAGAACGAGAATGAAGAAAAAGTGAGAAACGCTAATGATAAAATAAAACACAAAATATATATATATATATATATACAAAGAGAATAAATTTCTGATCATTCCCCGATGAAAGAACCTACAAACACAACTCAACCAATGTAATAATTAGTTAACAACAGGTGTTACGCAACATGAAAACCACTGGAAAATGAAACCCATAACCAACAGACTCAATTTTTGACCATACCCCGATGAGATATCCTGCAAATAAAGATCAACCGATATAATGATTAGTAAACAACATGTCTTACACAGCATGAAAACCATGGGATAACAAAACCAATAATCAACAGACAAGAAAAATTACATGTTCATTATACAAAATTACAGGATGACGAAAACAAACGTCAAAATAAAAAACAAACACGACAACACAACAATAACTCTTGAAATAACCTATAGAAATAAGGAATAAGAAAAAAAAAGGAAAAAATTTTCAAAAAATAACCGAGAAAAAAGAGAGAAGAAAAAAAACCCATAAAAGCCCTCAAAAATATCAAAAAGTCATTGAAAAAATGAAACCCTAAATTACAATCAATGGACGAAACCAAACAAAAGAAGATGACAAATTAATCTTTTTAAATCTTCATCTGACCCACCATAAAGAAGAGACAGATGAACGACAATGAAACCCTAAAATAAAGAACCAAACAAAAATAAAATCACAGTACAAAAGGAAAGAAAAAAGAGACAACAAAACCCTAAATTATTCCGAGAAGAAGAGAAGATCAAGAAAGGAAGAAGACGGAAAAAAAATAAAGCATAAAAACCCAAAAACAAGAACAAAATATGAACAAAACGTACTTTATTACACGTTGCCAACTATCATATATGCTTCAATTCATACAATTATTGCAAGTGGACGCATTAGCAAAAAACAAAAACGAAACAAAAATGTAAGTAAATGGTCCAAATATTACTATACGTTAGAGTGAGGCAGGTACTTCAAGTGTACATGTGTGTATCTATATATGTGTATAATAATGAGTGAGGCAGGTACTTCAAGTGTACATATGTGTATCTATATATGTGTATAATAATGAGTGAGGCAGGTACTTCAAGTGTACATATGTGTATCTATATATGTGTATAATAATGTAAAAGATTCAATTTTCTCGCGGTGGTTGAGTCGTAAAATATATATTAAAATCAGAATTAATTGCAGTGGTCCTTTTTTTGTGGTGAAGGAAACTTTTGTGAAAAATGACAAAAACTCATTGATATTACAGTACTCTCTGCGGTCTTGAAACTTGCCGTTACAACTCCAACAAGGAATGGAAGAAATTGATGGCTTAGTCCTATTATTAAACCTAAATGAGTCTCAAACGGCTAATAATAATTAGATCCTAAACTAGTAGCTTTCTAACTTAAAAATTGAAATAAGCGATCATCTTGTTCTCTCCGATCACTATCTCCAGCCTAGCTAATTAGTACACATTATATCACAATATATATACTTATATATATATATGTGTATGTATGTATGTCTATTACTTTGGTCCACGAATATACTAGTCAAGTTGTATTTTTGCTTTGACAAAGCAAGGCTATTTAACTTAGGTTTCGTTCATTTCACCGATTCGAGTTTAGATTTTGAGTTTTGCTACAACAAAAAACTTTCAGAAACTATCACATCTAACTTTTTTTCTGCAGTAAAAATTTCTCACATAAAATCACATCTCAACTCAAATTAAAAACTCGAATCAACGAACTAAACGGATCCTTAGTGAGACACTCTACCTTTGACATTTGAGTCAGATAACGATCTTCGCTTTTGTTTGATGAATTGATCAGATAGATACTATTTGATATGATGTGCTGGAAAAAATCTAGCCAGTGACCTAGTGTACAAATACCAGCTACTACAATATTAAATCTATGATTATGCATTAATCCGTCACTTAAAATCAAACCAAGCTGGGAAATCGATTTAAGAATCACTAATATTTCCATTATTATTATATAATAATAAAAAAAATGTATTATAACCAACCAAAAACTGATAATGAATTTCCATGTGAATGAACATGATTGAAAATGCAAATCTAACAGCATTAATTAGCTAATTGAAACATTAGCTTAATGAATAGCGTACATTAGCTTAATGATGTGCTGGAAAAAATCGTAGCATGTATTGCTTGTTTAATTAATTAAGTTTCTACGGGTAAATCTCTTTACACTTAATTCATTTTTTTTTTTTTTTTTGTTTTTCATATTTAACATATAAGAAAATAAATTCCTCATATGATCATGACAGAAACTGTATGAAGACATGAAGACGAGGATTGAGAGTAACACAAAGGCGGGACAAATTTCGGAAGAGATACGCAAACAACACAAGGGGTTTCGCGAGTGGGACTCCGTTTCAAGCAGACGTGATCATCAGACAATTCTTCAAGTACTGAAGTTTCTTTAAAATTTCATTAACAAAAATTTGAGTCCTAAAACAATTTAATGTCATGCCGAATAAGATGAAATATATATAACTGCATGATACTGTTACTAATATGACTCTATATATGTAATATATAGATTCTTATTGATGGAAGAGATCCAAAGGCTGTAGACTCTGAAGGAAAACCTTTGCCAACTCTGGTGTACTTGGCACGTGAAAAGAAACCCCACTTCCACCACAACTTCAAAGCAGGAGCTATGAATGCACTGGTCAGTGGTCATCATCTTACCAATATTGAGTTTTAGATATGTAATAATAGTTTTACGTGACAATTTTCAAGCTAATTAGCTATACTTATACTTTTAACTTAACATGTATTTTGTTTTGTTGTTATTAATTATTTTGGTTTCCATGTTGAGAAAATAGATAAGGGTATCATCGCGAATCAGCAATAGTCCGATAATTCTGAACGTGGACTGCGACATGTATTCGAATAATTCGGAAGCAGTGAGAGATGCTATGTGCTTCTTTCTGGATGAAGAGAACGGCCACGAGATTGCTTTTGTGCAGTTTCCTCAGAAATTCGAGAATATCTCCAAGAATGACATTTATGGCAGTTCCTTGCGAGTCATAATGGAGGTTTGATTGTCCCATTAACTTAGAGCAATGCTATAGGGTATCACCCACTAACAGAAGGTGGGTTCCATAGTGTGAGACTCACCGGTGGAGTCTACCTTCTATTAGTGATGGTGCTTAACACCGATAGTACAACTAAGGCATAACTCATAACAGATTAACGTTTTGAAACAATACTTCATTATTATTGAAATAATTAATTACTAATTTGTGCTATGGCCCTTTTTATGGTCATGCTCTAAAGGTCGTGCTCCGCGGAATTGATGGTAATGGAGGGCCTTGCTATATTGGTACTGGGTGTTTTTACAGAAGAGAATCACTTTCAGGAAAGAAGTACATAGAGGCAACCAAAGTAGACTTGAAGAATAAGAATCGTTATAGAAAGACTGAAGATAATGCAGATGTTCTAGAAGAAACAAGCAAAGCTCTTGCAAGCTGTGACTATGAAGAAAACACTCATTGGGGAAAGGAGGTTCCTCTCTCTCTCTCTCTCTCTCTCTTTGAAGCAAAGCATAATACTATTAGTGGGCCACCTTCTAACTTAACTTTTGTGATGAGTTGGTAACTAACATAATATCAGAGCAAGTGTATCATCTCCTTGCAATTTCGTAACTTGTCACGTGTTTCTATTGTCTCTTTGCATTCACATTCTGCTTGGGTACTTTGGTCTAGACTCCATACGTGAAGGAAACTATCAAAGTATCATATTATTGTTGCTCCACTTCCTAACTTAAGCTTTTGGAAGGAATTGGTTAGAATATCATCATAGTTTTTAGCTAGCCAAAATTACAATGTAAAAATGTAATGCTCTAATATATATTTTAATTTGCAGTGTGATAATAAATATTTCAATATTTTTGTGGATGCACAGACGGGATTGATGTATGGGTGTGCAGCGGAAGACATTTTAACAGGGTTAGTTATACAATGTAGAGGTTGGAGATCCGTCTATTTCTGTCCAGAAAGGAAGGGCTTTCTAGGAGCTGCTCCCACGACACTGCTGCAAACACTTGTGCAACAGAAGAGATGGACCAAAGGAGATTTCCAAATCTTTCTTTCAAGATACTGTCCATTGTGGCACGGCTACAATAAGATTCCCTTACGACTTCAACTCTCATACTTAGCCTACTCGTTATGGCCAGTAAACTGCTTCGCTTCGCTCTATTACGCTATCGTGCCATCACTTTGCTTGCTTCAAGGAATCTCTTTGTTTCCACAGGTAAAGACTAACAACCAAACCCTCTAAGGATTCTCCCAAATTTAATAGTTCTACACGTTATAACCCCGGTTTAAGATTTTTAAGGTTACGGCTATTAAAAGTACTACTTTTAGAAACTAGCTTAAACTATACATGTTGCCTAGTAGAATGCCAGAAGCTGATCTTGATTGTCTTGTCCTAACAGATGTCCAACCTATGGGCGGTCCCATTTTTCTACGTCTTTGTTGGCAACCGAGTTTATAGCCTTGTAGAGCTCTTGAACTGTGGAGGGACATTGCAGGAATGGTTGAACGACCAAAGAATGTGGTTGTTCAAGAGAACAACTTCCTACTTCTTTGCCTTCTTTGACAACATCCTGAAGCTATTGGGATTCACCGAGTCAGCCTTCACCCTAACGTCGAAAGTGGTTGATGACGACGTGTGCAAAAGATACGAGCAAGAGATAATAGAGTTTGGAACTACCTCACCGATGTTTACCATTTTGACAACCGTCGCGTTTCTGAATGTCTTTGGTTTCTGTTGGGGTGTGAAGAGGTTGATTTTGGGTGAGCAGAGTTTGGTCCTAAACCCCTTTGCATTGCAGGCTATTCTCTCCGGTCTGTTGGTATTCATCAACCTGCCAATTTACCAAGCTATCTTTTTAAGGAAGGACAAGGGCAGAATGCCTGCTTCAGTGACTTACCAGTCGATTATGTTCACTCTAGCAGCGTGTTCAGTCGCTCTGTATTAGAACCTTTTACCAAGATCAAGCACAATTGTAATTGATTAGTACTTAATTCGAGCTGGCCTATGATTAGGAAAGTAGCTTGAAGAAGTATACTGCTCATTTATGTTTGTAATTACTCTTCCTGTGAAGAATGTATGTTAATAAAGGATGATTCTACTACTTGTATTGAAGGTTTTCTACCAAAGTCTAAATCCCATTGCAAATGCCAGTTTGTATATGGAGGCGCAAATTAATCCATTAACACCACAAGTGTAGGGAGGACGAAGAACATCGACGCTGAAGGCGTGATATGTAAAACAGACAACAACGTTTTTCCTTCGTTTACAGATACGTTTTTACAAGATTGTCTTTCACTTTTGCATCTATTTTCTCTCTAGTAATCAAGCTTAAACAGTAAAAGGAGGCAAGGTTGAACATCTATCCAAGGACGGGAAACACTAAATCCATTACAATGATGAACGTCCCACCTTTGTAACGGACCTGCATGATGAAAAAAGTTCCTTCAGGAATTGGAAGAGTAAAAGACTCTTGATCGTAATGGCATGATAATTGGTTTCAAATTTCATGAATTCAAGAGTCTTACATGAGCTCAAGAACAAGTGAAGAAGCTCCCCCTCCCCCATTACATACGGCGCCAACACCGTACTTTCCATTTTTATGTCTTAGTACCTGCAACAACATTGTTTTTATTTCATCAGCTCCCCTCAAAAAATATTAAATATATCAAGCAAACACAAGCAGAGGACCATCTCGCACATTTATATGTAGAAGATATGTTGTATAGATGTTAATATGATTACCAAAAGTGATATTAGATTATCAAGCAAAAAATCTTCAGAGAAAGACAAAAGATCATAGAAATAATACTAGATTATAAAACCAAGCATACTGAGGGGAGGGGAAAGTTATAACCCACCCCCAACAATGTGACCAAGATACGAGCTCCACTGCATCCTAAGGGGTGTCCCAATGATACCGCCCCACCATGTACATTAAGTTTCTCCTGAAATATTAGGAAAGGCAAAAGTTTAACAACCTAATACTATAAAATAAAAATTTTAAAAAAAAAAAAACAAAAAGTAACAGGCAAATGGTACTAATGAATGCATCGCATCAAATGCAAAGAGCTGAAACAGATTATGCATCAATTTTAAACAAGGATATAGTTTTCTTCATAACTCACAGGCTCAAGACCGAGCAGCTTTTGATTGGCAAGAGCTACGACCTGGAGAGAAAAACATTAATATAAATGAATATAAAGAAAAATGCTTACTGAACGAGGACAAAGGTGCAAAGATATTAAGCATAAAATCTTACGGAAAAGGCTTCATTGATTTCATAGTAATCGATTTGAGAAGCCTTCAAACCGGCATTTGAAATAGCTTTTGGTATTGCAAGGGCTGGGGCAGTCGTAAATAATTCAGGTGCCTGCAAAGACAAAAGACAATCTTTTTTGAGCATCAAAGTTTCAGAAACAGCAAGAGGAAGAAGAGGAATAATTTAAAGAGTACCTGAGCTGCATCAGCAAACCCCTTAATCTTAGCAATTACTTGTAAACTGAGTTGAAGTGCCTTCTCCCCACTCACTAGGACAAATGCAGCTGCACCATCACTATCCATGACAAAACACCAATAGTGAAGGATAAGGAATAAAAATTTGACTAATAAGATAAGAACTCAAACCAAAACCGACTTACACCAAAGTATGAAAGGTAATATTTTAGACAATGAACTGAAATATATGATCTCATTGAATCTGCAGCACTAGATAATATCAATCTTGATATTCACAGATACAGTGCCTGAAGGGTATTGCCGAAAACTAGTTTTTTGAGAAGTACTTGTTTGGCACATTCAGTGTATCAAAATTTCCAAGAAAAGAACATTTTTATGAATGTGGACAATATCATTCGAGTTTTTAGATAAAGACTTGGCGCAGAATATGCTAGATAGATAGTTAGGAACCTTATGATAGAAGCATTGCCAGCAGTTACAGTGCCCCCCTTCTTGAAACTTGGTCTGAGCTTTCTTAATTTTGCAGCATCAAACTAGCGAGAGATGCAGAGAAAAAAAGTAATAAATAAAACAGAGAACTGGAGCAAGCGATAAAAACTCTGAAGCCTACTTCAAGATTAAAAATCTAATTTTAACTTGGAAGAATATATTTGACATGAAAACTACTACAGCAGAAAAGGTATCAAGACCAAGAAGCAATCAAGGGAATATATTGCACTGGCGCGTTAAATTATGTTATTTAGTTTCGGAAGGAAAATTCTCCACAAGTCAATCCCTAAGCCATCTGTTGTATATAGTATACCTTTTCTAAACTTTCATCTTTGTCAACAACTGTGGATGGCTTCCCTCGTCCCCCAGGAACTTCAACCTATTGGAACAAAGTTGTGAACTTATATAGACTCTTTATATCAAAATACAATTATTGTCCAGTTTTGCAAGAACTCATACTGGAGTGATTTCCCATGCAAAATGACCATTTTTCTGTGCTGAAACTCCTCGCTCAAAGCTCCGAATAGCATAAGCATCCTGCAAGAAAAATGAAAATAGAAACGATAACAGTAAGGGGAAAAAATGTCAAGGTAATATAACTAACAAGGAGATATACCAAAGGAAATTGAACAAGATTTAGAAATTTGAATTTGCCTAGATCGTTTTACAGCTTAAAAAGTTTCTCGTCCAGGAGTTTAGGTGTGTTGGGAGGTAGCTCAGCAGCGCACGCCGAGCACGTGCCGAGCACTGTTCGGGTGGTATGGCCGAACAAGTCCCCGATTAGTGTCCGGGCGTGCTGATATAGCTGAGCTCTCCTTGTTATACGGTACAACACACGTACTATCGTGACAACGGGCCGAGCACAATGCCTACAGGCCTGTCGCCGAACATGGCTGTTCAGCGAATTCACATCACGATAAACAATCTACACAACAAATCAATCCCAACCGTTGGATGGATACTGCACGCTCCCATTGATGTGCGACACTTGTCACAACGTCAGACACGTGTACTTGAAGTGAGAACAAGACCCGTGTACTTGTGGGCCCCCGGTGGGTCATGAACAAAACCCGGGTCCACCAATGGGACTATAAATACCCCATGATCATTTATTGAAGTAAGAACAATTATCCTATCCAACTCCTGTCACAACATTTATTGCTCCTAATTAGCTCGGCTGACTTTGAGCATCGGAGTGTGTTTGGCAGGCACCATATTGGTGTCCCCTCACTTCAAGGCTTCATCTCTTACTCCAGTAGAGCACATTAGTCCCTGAACCCGAGCACGTGGCGGAGCACCGACCAGACTAAGACCGAGACAGGAGTCCGAGCATCGTGCTTTCCAGGACGCGGGTGTTGAGTCAGCTCAGACATCAACAAGGTGCATGGTTTTTTAGACCTATTTTTATGCTCAATTATGCAGAAAATAAGTAGGGTATGCCAGTTACTATTACTTTGTAGAGTTTATTTGATTGATGAACATCTGGCTCTAGGGGAATGAGGCATCAAAATATTCTAGACCCGCCAAACATTTACAGAAAACAACCTGCTCTTCCCTTGAAATTTTATATTGGTCAGCACATAACTCTCCACAAACTCCCATTCCAAAGTCGTTATAGACATCCCACAAGCCATCTTTGACCATGCCATCAACAATAGTATCATGTCCTAACCGAGATCCATTCCTGGTACAAATGGGAGTCAGAATTTTTCACACAGATTCTTCATGCAATAAACTGATTTATGACAGATTGTCACACTAGAGAACATAAGCATCTAGCAAGTCCGATATTTAGCAATTATTAAAAAATCATCTAGTGAGTAATAGCATAAACGCTGACCTTACATCTGTTAGGTACTTAGGCGTATTAGACATACTCTCCATTCCACCAGCCACAACTATATCATTGGTACCAAGCTCAATGCTCTGTGATGCAATCATTATGGCTGAACAAAGAAAAAATATAAAGATTATGGATCATTATCATCACCCCCACTCCATCAACAACTCTTGGCACAAAGTAAAAGTGTAACATCATAAGCAAGGAAGTAAAAAAACTAAACCTTTCATCCCAGATGAACAAACTTTGTTAATAGTTGTGCAAATCCCAGAATTTGGTATTCCTGCACCAAGAGCAGCCTGCCTCGCCGGAGCTTGCCCCAAATTTGCGCTGAGGACATTGCCAAAGAACACCTCTTGCACTAGTGATGGCTCCACTCCTGCCCTTCTGAGAGCGGCTGAAGAACACCCATTTGAACCAATATTTTAAATGTCAAACTGGGATCTTTAACAGGAGAAAACAACAACAGCAACAGCAACAACAACAACAACAAAAACAATGCAAAGAAATTACCTTTTATGGCAACAGAGCCAAGCTGGGTAGCTGAGAGAGATGAGAGGGAACCGAGAAAGCCTCCTATGGGCGTTCTCGCAACACCCACTATACAAACATCTGTGCCCACATGTTTGAATACACACACACATATATATCGAATTGGAGAATTCAGCTAAAGAAAGAGTATGCTTTTTCATGATTATGAAGAAAGAAAGAAGCAAACGTACCTCGAGGTTTAATGGAAGACGAAGATGGATTTGAAGCTGGAGCCATGGATGCTTCTAAGATTCAGAAACGATACTTGTAAAGGAGAAAACGGAAGAGAAATTGGAGTCTTTGCCAACCGAAGCTTATTCGTTTGATGATGATCTGATCTTTTTTGCTGAGAAGCCAAACGAAGTTTGTTTTGTGTTCAAGTTTGAGGCTTTGATTATGGAAGGAAGAGAAATGACGAGAGAAGCAATCATCAAGGTACCCAATACAAATAAATAGATGATCACTGCGTTTTTTTTTATTTTTTGTTAAAGAATTATTAATGTTAGTTTCTAATATACCTGCAGAAGAATGATCACGAAAGTGGTGCGATTTATTATTGTACGAGCCCCATCCAATCTGTATCTACTACATTGGGATGCGGAAAACATCGATCCATCACTCTCAAATCTGTATCTACTACATTGGTACGGTACGGGGTAATCTCATATTTTCATCAAAATGGGAGAGTAATATGATTTTTAAGAATAATATATTATTGTGTTTAGTTTTATATAAAATTTTTTTTTAAATTTTTAAGAATATTACATTACTGTATTTAGTTGTGTATGAGAATGTTGTGAATTAAAAAATATTTTTTAAATAATAATAATAATAATAATAATAATAATTTTATTATTATTCATGCAAATTTGAGCAACCGTTGATCTGACATTTGTATGTGGTGTCCAAAAAAATACTAAAATTCGTTCGTCAATTATATTCTATTTGCTTATTAAACATTTTCTGAAATTTTTCCCTTCAAATTGGTACTTCCGAAGTTTATTCCATCTTAACCCTGAATTCATATGACATCTCAAATCGAGTATAATAGTTATATTCTGTTAAATACTCGATGAAATGTATTAAAATGACGTAGGTAATAAAGTTATAGGAATATTCACGCATATTTAAATTCATCCCAACAAATAAAATAAGAATATTAACTACTGTTTAACATTTATAACTAAAGGATTAGCAGTTTCTAGTTACAATTTGGGAATACATAATAATGAACTACATAATAATGAACTACTTTATTGCAAAATCAATGTATTAACTTTTATTTTCGAATGCATGTGTTAACAATTTATTAATAATAATTATTATTATTATTATTATTATTACTATTACTATTATTATTATTATTATTATTATTATTATTATTATTACTATTATTATTATTATCAGATTCTCATGATTTTGAGATTCCTGGGAATTTGAATAACACCTAGGGGCGTTTTGAGGTTGGATCTGGACGAGAGAGAGAGAGATGGATGAGATAGGTGGGTGAGAGAAATGGTCGAGAGAGAGAGATGGATGAGATGGTGGGTGAGAGAAATGGACGAGAGAGAGGTTTCCCGTGAATATTACTTTCCTGGGAAAGTAAATAACACCCTGTTGGGTGGGATTAGGATTACCCCAAAATGGGGTAATGTGAAACCCATGTGCTTCACTTTTTTGGGTTTTAAAAAAGTCTAATAATTGTACCAAACATGAGAATCTGAAATATTCTCATTCCCACCCTTATGATTACCCCATACCAAACGCCCCCTAAAAGAAAAGAAAAAGTATCTGATAAGTTACATGTCGTTTCATGAAGATATAAAAAACGGTGATTTTCTTTCATTCATACGACAACAGTCAAAGATGAAAAACCGTAGTAAAATTCTCAAACAGTAAAAAAAGATAAAAGTGAACAAAAATAAAAAAAGGTAAAATTTGGGGAAAAGGAAGAACATAAAACGACGAAATTTGAAGGAACAAAAAGGATATAAAAAATGCAAGATGATACAATAAAAAAGAAAAAAAAAATTCTCAAACGACAATAAAAGGCAGCAAAACGTTAAACGACAAAAAAATAAAACGACGATAATTTAAAACTTTCAAACGATAACAAAAAGGTCCAAACGACAGTTACATTTGGAAGCAATGACAGAGTAACGACAAGGAAAATTGAACGATGACAAAGCGGCAACAACATCATCAACCAATAATAAAATTTGGCCACCGCGAAAGTAAAACTAACTGTAAATCGGCGATAAAGTAAAAACGATAACAAAACCTGTAAAACGTTGGGTATAAACGTGCCGTCTATTTGTTTTTGAGAAGATTACATGTCGTTTCTGAAAATAAACGACGCCTAGCGTGCCGGTGGTAAAACTACAGGTCGTTGAGAAACAAAGTCCACAAAGACTACAAATAAACGCTGCGAATATTTGAAAAGATTTAAAAAAAAAAAAAAAAAACCTCTGTAAAAGGACTGTAAAAGTGTCAAACAAAAACAGCATTTGGAAACTTCATCAGGGAAAAAAAAAAAAAAAAAAAAAAAAAAAAAAAAAAAAAAAAAGGAAACGACGATAAAATAAAAATGACATCAAAGCCGTAAAACTAGATTAAACCTCGCATCATATTAGATATTTTCAGAAGAGAAAAAACCGCGAGACCAGAGGAGAAATGTCAACTATTACGATGAGGAAAAGACAACGACATGCACAACTTTGGAGTCACGTCGTTTTAATGTTTACCTGAAGAAACGACATGCAAGAAATCATCATGAAAACAAACGGCATGGATTGTTCTTTTTTTTACATTGCTCGAGCAGTTTTCACAAATGCAATTCGCCAATTGGTCCAAGAGAATTTAGATCAGTAATTATCAGAGAAACAATGGAAGTTCTGAGGCAGCATCAACAGCTGCAGAGAAATGCCAAAACTTGCATCATCACAGAGTAAATTGTAACTTCAATTCAATTACATAGACAAATAAGATACAACCGGTACCAAGTGTTAAAGGCATTCCTCTAAACAAAAGCCAAGTATCGGTGCCACGAAGCAGTCGTTCTCTACAGCCAAACCAGCAGGTGATACACAAAAAAACATGAGCACAAATGAAACGAACTACCACCACCCCTGATTCCAGTAGCCGTTAGACAACACGCCTAAATGTAAGATTGATTCGGGTCGCATCCGCTTTTGCACGCTTAGGCACCGAGTGGAGCCAATCCCTTTGAGTGTAACCTCTCATCACCAAAAGTGATCCGTGTTTGAGCGTGAATGAGTGCTGATCAACATGGCTGCTTCTCTTTAAACGCTTACTCGCTGGTTCTTCATCATTTCTTCTCTCTGGAAGTCCCCAACAAAAGAAAATCAAAAGCTGTAAAAATGATGCAAGTACAATGGCTATTTTGGTATGCTTATGAAGTTTGAAGATTGCATTTGCATAACGACTGGTGGTAACAAAAAGGAATCATTCAAAATTTAAGATGAACTCGAAGAACGTAGTGAATGTGCAAAGAGATCAAACAACAAAGAAGAAAAAATATGTTTTATCATCTCACCGATGGACACTTTTCCGGGTTTTTTCTTCAAGAGGAAATCGCGTTCACATCCAAAGGAGACCGAAGCGATTTCAGGAGCCGACCCATAAAGCTTCTCATCATCAGAATGCCAACCAACAGAGTCATTACCACCCTTATACCTGTTTAAGAGCAGGCTGTTGAAATTACTCCCAGGAAGCGCTTTATGAACCTTCATATGTCAAAACAGAACATATCAGCAAACCAACCCCCATAGTAGAACTAAAAAATATTAAACACTTTACCAAACATAAAATAAAAGGCAAATGTGAGAAAAATTAAACAAAATTAGAAGCATTTCTTACGGCCTCTAAAATGTCCTTAAGCGGAGGAAAATCATCCCAACTATATGCGTGTGGCTGATATCCACTGTATACCAATTCTGGCAATCCAGGACTTGCAATATAGCATGTATCTCTAGGCTGCACCCCAGTAACATTTTGAAACGAAAAAATTTCAGCAAAAAAAAAAAACTGTGAACAATAAATAATTCTTCTTGTAGATGCTTTACTACTCTCACTGATACATTTTTTCTTTCACCATCTTTCCAACAAGAACAGAAATTGAGCATATTCCACATTAGCAAAAGAAAAGGGAAAAAAGACAATATCTTTATATATTAGGAACTTCAATTTGCCATTGTAATTAACTTCATTCGATAAAATTTAGTCCCAGAAGTGAACTTGTAAAATTTATGCACGGAATTGAGAGAGAGACCTGGGGGCAGGATCGTCCGAAAACACGAACGGTGGGCCTGGTCCAAGGGATTTCATTGTTGAGGAAATCGAAAAAATTCCAAGAATCGTGGAAGCTCAGGAATCTGGGAATGTAGACGACTTCGCTTTCGTTACCGAGATCAAGAATCTGCCTCTTTGGGGCTTCGTTAGGGTTTGGGTTGGTGGGTTTACAGACCGTCGTGAACTTGGAACTCATCGGTCACGTCTTACAAAAGAAAGAGATCAGAAACGACAATACAATTTACGCGCCAACCACTACTAGACCCATCCCAATGGATCGGAGACCCGATTCTAATTCGGGCGTTTAGCCTAATGCCATTAAGTTATACATATAAAGAAACAAAAATAATTATTTATTTATTTATTTATAAATAACAAAAATAAAAAATTGATAATAAATACTACGTAATTTTATTATTCTAACACTGAGTACGTTTAGTTCGCTAATTTGAGTTGAGATGTAATTTTATGTGAGAACTTTTTACTGTAACAAAAAAATTAAATGTAACCGTTTCTGATAACTTTTTACTGTAACAAAACTCAAATTCTAAACTCAAATTGGTAAAATAAAACGGATGCTACTTAGAACCTTCGAGTCAGTCCTGACGATTTTGCCCGTTTAAGCACGTTGCACAAATCAACACACCTGTTGTTTAGGATTCATGAAATGTGAGCAAATAGTGACAATTAAACAATAAAAACAGAAGCAAAACGGATCGAAAACTAACCTCCAGTCATCGTCTTTCTTTATGCCGACGTGAATATATATAAGTTTATGTGTATATATATGTATGTAAGTATAAGAGTAGTGATTTGGGTTCTTCTAAACCTTATTTTTTCTCAGAATTGATGGTGTAAAACTGAAGGAGAGAGAGAGAGATAGAGTTAGGGACCCAAACGTGATGGTTTTTATAAACGCTCTTCCATCATCAAGCGTTTCTCAATTCAATCCCTTGACTTATGGGATTGTGGACTGGTTTAAGAAGTTTCCCAAAATAAATTTCTGAATAGGAAACTAAATCTTAATTAATAGAATTGATATGGGCCACGTTTAGTCTCCACAAATTGAAAAAATCCTACATGAAAAGCCACATAATTTCACTATGCTTTAAATATTCTCTAAAAATTGCCATACTTCAAAACTAATTAGTTTTTAAAAAATTAAACTTAACGAACTTAAATTGGTTTTAGTTGGTTGGTTTGGTGAATGCCTCCTGCTTTCAACATTTAATTGCAGATCATCAACGCAAAAATCTCCAAATTTTGTTGCCAATAATTATCATGCCAGCATTTCCATCTTGCACTCTGCATTTTGGATATCTAGCGTCCTGCTTTTTATTAAGTTGCGGCACGATTGAAGCTAAATTAAACTCTTCTCAAGCAATAAGAAAAATAAAATAAAAAATAAAAAGAAAATATATTCGCTAGCATGATATCCACTGAGCCTTCTGATCTCATAAAACATTCTCAAGTGCCTAAAATAGAGGCTGAAAAAAATAGCATTATAAAATAGTGGATGCCATGGACAGTCAAACTCAAGAGAGTTTATAGGCAAAGACAGTTTCGGGTTAGATTCAACAAGATACGGATGATCATAATTGCAACGTCATGTCCATAAAAATTCCATATTAGCATATGTACAAACTTCAGACACACGGCTCATCAACACTCACCACACAAACAACCCAAATAAAATACCCACCAAGCAAGCTCAGCAGAATCAAAATAAATCAATGCTAAACTACATAGAACATCAAATCTCCTTAAGACAATCAAATGGGGTTTAATTACCCCTTGGATGACTAAACTAGAGATATTCGACTCTTTCTTTTCGCTTGTTAGAAGTCTACAACTAGTCCAACCTTAGATTCTCCTCTATCTTGAAGGAGCAAGAGCAGCTGGGCCTTCAATCAGTTTGATCTTCAATTCAATCTCCCCGGATTCCACGTCACGTAACCTTAACCAAACACTTTGCAGCACCTCATCATTGACACAAGTGATGGAGCTTTCCCTAACCAGACAGTTATCACTATCTGGGACAACCTTCCTTAACGTTGTTTCGCCAGAAAAGTTCTGCAAAATCTGCTTCAATCTAGCTGCTGAGACCAGTGGTTGAAGGCTGAGGTGTGCGTGTCCCATCTTGTCATCCGTCTTCAAGAGGTCTTTGTCAAACACTTCCTAGAGGTCAAGGGCGGCATTTTTGTTATGTACCATAAAAGCTTAAATTTTGTAATTAAGGAATATTAATTCACCAGCTTGCCAGCATGTTTATACAAGGATATTCATACAAGTTCAACTTGGGAGTTGAAGCCCACACATTCAAGGAGAAAAAAGCATCACTTACAAATGATTAACTTCACTATTTCAACTTCAGATTAATAGATATGAGTAGAATAAGTCAGTTTATACTTAATCTTCATCAAAAATCTAATTGGGACAATTTCCAACTTCAGGATGTTAGAGCTTAAAGAAGTAAAACAATAGAGGTTGGATCAGTACTTAGAACACACAGATGAAAGCCAGAACAAATAATATGTGAAAAGTAAAGTGGGATTTGGATATAGTACAATAAAATCATGGAAACTTACCAAATTTAGAACTCCAATAGGTTCTGTGAGCGAGAAAGTTAGCTCTTCATTCCATACCGGATTAAGGCAACTGTTGATAACCTTGGTTTTTGCTGTCTGCAGCAGAAGATACAGATGAGTAAAGAACAAACTTTACTATCCTTAGATGACCAAGTTCAATCTTTGTCGGTTTTCAGCAGAAAATGCTGAGAATATGTTCTAATAGACCAACAACTTTTTGATATCAACTTACATGGCAATGAGTTATCATCGTTTTATTGGCAAGGGCAATCTTTAATAAACGTGATGCTTTTTAAAGCACGTCGATAAAAGAATGACCACTCACATGCCAGAGTGAATTGGTATCAAAAAGTTGGGATTAAAGTTAGAACGCCAAGCATTATTCATTCAACTTTACAAAGTGCTATGAAAACTTCATAAGACAACCTAGGGCCCTTTTTGGTTGAGCTTCCAAAAAAATCCAAGTATGAAGCTTTGCAAAAGGTATATTCCAAAGTACTAGTAATGAACAAGATTCAACGAAGATTGACAAGCAAACAGGCTTAACATCGCCGAACAAGAAAGCGTGTCGACAATGGGAATGAGTCAAGAAAGAATTGATGAAGATTGAAGTCACCTGATTGCCCAACTTGACTACAACGTACGGATCACTGCTCTTGAAATCACGGATCACCAGTCTTTTCCCTTGCACCACTACAACTTTTAGCAATCCCAATCGCTCCCCCATAATCTGCTTCCAAAATATGCCTTTCAGTTCAACAACTAATCAATTGAAACATATAGTTGGGAAAACCCAAAAAATACGCCAAGAAGATTTGCAGTTCGTGAGAGAAGAACTAAAAGGCGATACCGTATTGAGATATCGATCTAGATACATGAAAATAAGTACAAATATCCTAAACAATAATCACAAACAAAGCATGAAAGTTAAAACAAGTGTCTTAATTACAATTTTAATACAAGAACTTTTCACACCAAAAAAAAAAAAAAAAAAAAAACCAACAACAATAACAACAGAGAAGCAGATGTTTAGCAACTCAAAAGCTCCACCATTTCCGATTTATACTCCAAACAAGATCTAGGCCATACCCACTTAAAACAATATCAAAATAACAATAAAAGACGACGGATTTAACGAAACCAGACCCTGCATTCACCAACTCCCTTATTAACTTGGGAAAAAAAAAAAAAAACCAAACCCATCAAGAAAGAGAAGATTAAACAAACAAACTATCTATTTTTGGAAGCAATAACAAATGGAGGAAAAAAAAAGTAGAAAACAGAAAGACTTACCGACTACAAGTTAATGGAGGTTTTTTTTGTTTTTTTGGTGGTGTCACTTGTGCTGGCTATGGTTTGCTCCGCTTGATGGAAAAGGATTTTTGGATGGCAGATAATTTATTTCGGTCACCGGAAAGTAGAGGTTTTTAAGGATTTACTAGTCTTAGTCTAGTAGTTTTGTAGAATTCGTACATAAGCAAAATAAATGCAACTGCCACGTGCCGGTCGGGATTAAGATCAACACGGGCTTTGACTAGACCACAGTTCCTTTACTCAACTCAAGTGCGGTCCAAGCTGACTCTTGACTGTGATTGCTGTGTTGTTTGCGCCTTTTCGTGTAATGTTCCTCTTTTTCATTTAATTGTTTTTTTTTTTTTTTTGCTGCAATTTTTCATTTAATTGTTTGTTTGTTTGTTTTCTGCAAAAATCTTGTTCCACGTTCAAAACTGTAGAAGGAATGCGTCATAATGACACGACAATTGGCGGGTTGCTGAAAAGTAAAAAGGCCATTTTTAATAATTTTTTTGGTAGAAGGCCATTTTTATAATTGTGGTTGAGGTAGCAGCAATTAGAATTGCAAATAAGCAATTTGATGATTGAAACCATATTTGAAGGAAGAAAAAGTAATAATTTAATAGGAACGAGGAAAGGGCAAAAAGGAAAAAAAAAATGGAAAAAGGGCAAAAGAGAACAAAAAGAATACATATATATAGTTCGTCGGTGACCAACTGACCATTGAGAACTGAATTCATCAGCTGACCCCAGTTAGGTCCATTTCAAATGTGAAAAGATCTTCGGCTAATGGCTAAAGGTAAGATCCAAGTGGGGGAACTTCTAACTAACATGTAAAAAAAATTACTTAAAAAAAAATTAGAGAGATTTTCTAGTACGCCTGGTATATTAATAAACCAAATTTTTCTAACCGTTAAATCTACGTATTTTTTACTTTTACGTTATTTTATGCAAATCTAACGGATAAAAACTTAGTCTACCGGTATATTAACGTACGGGAAAAAATCCTAAAAAATTATCTAATAAAAATTTTTCATTGCGTTGAATAGGCGCCCAAATCTTCATCTGTGACACGGATGACCTTGTCACATAGGTGGTCTCTTTAATCAAATGTTAAAAAAAGGAAAACATAAAAACTGGACAATGAAATTGCTTGATTTCAAGAAGAAAAAAATGTATTTTGACCTGGTCACCCACCAACTTCCGTTTTTGGGCAACCCTTTATTTCACCCTTCTACTGAATTGATGGTTGTTGAGAATTCATCCTGTCACATGTCAATTATTCTTCCCCATTTCCTCATGTAAAATCAAGAAAAAGGCAACCTATGAACTTCGAGACTCAACGCCTTCTTGGCGCAAAAGAAAACAGCCTATTATATGCGCACACCACATTAGAATTCCACATGATGACCAACCCAACTTGCCCTTGCGGATTTGCCAACACCACTCGGCTAGTAATGATAATAATATTTCTACAACGAGTGAAAAGAAGCATAGCATAATTACAGCAACCAATAGACCAAAAGGACGCAAAAGTATCAACCTTGATGGGTGTTAGAATTCAATCATGAATAAAACAACATATAATTAACTTTCCCCACGTATAGCTGTACATGTAGGTGATGGATTTATCGGTTATAAGAAGATTCACTAGGGTATGTCAAACCTACCATCTACCGCTAATCATGTCCCGACATTGTTACACGCGCTAACACTTGCCTACCTAAACGTGGGACTGTCTACTGTTATTTTTACAATCTACATGGGGCTTCCGGGGTAACTGCTCGGTACATTTATTCATGGTTTTTGGTAATTGAACTCCATGTTCACCTCCCTCGAATTCTCCAAGCTAAACAACGAACTCAAAACAGGTACAGAAATCCGCCGCAATACTGCAGCTTTGTAAAGTTGATTGGTGTGGCAGATGAACTGCTCATCGTAGACGCTTTGAGCCCTTCTTTCCCACCCAATGCTTCCATTTGCTCTGCAATCAGGAGATCAGAAGGAAGAAAATACTTGAATTATAAAATACTTGAATTATTCACCACAACGCTGGAGACGTACCAGAGGCTCATCATCAGAAATTTCAGCATCCCCAGCAACAGACTCTTTCTGGGCTTTCTTCGGTTTTAAGGGACTACTCCCAACATCATCTGTTTCTTGATTATCTGCAGAACCTGATTTCTCTCTCTCTCTAGTCTGATCTTCATGGATATCTTCAGAATCTGATTTATCTTCCTCTTTAGCCTGTTCTCCTTGAATATCTTCTCCGGCATCTGAATTGTCTTCCTCTTTAGCCTGCTCAACTTGAATATCTCCGGCATCTGAGTTGTCTTCCTCTTTAGCCAGCTCACCTTGATCATCTTCAAAGTCCACCTTCTCTTCCCCTGTTGCCTGCTTTCCTGAGGCTTCACTAGATTCATCATCATGGTCCCCTTCTGAATGTTGTTTCTCTTCACTCTTCTGAGCATCTTGTGGGCTGCTCTCCATATCTTCATCAGGCCTCCCTCCAGTATCAGGTTTCTCTTCATCGGGCTCCTCCATATTATCAGGGCTTTCCTCCTTATCAGCCAACTGTTTTCTCTTAGACACTGACTTCACTTCGTTATCAGATCCCCCCTCATCTGTTAAGTTCTCATCCATTTTCTCATCGTGCTCCCCGTCTGAACTACCTGGAGAAAGAAAAGATATCTGTTACAAAAATGGAACTACATGCCCATGCTCCACATAGTGGTCAGTCAAGTTATATACATCAGAACATCCTACAAACTCTTAAGCAGATCTTGATGGTCACATGCACCATATGCAATTGACGAAACTATTTACCTGAGTTCATTTCATCAATTTTAGATTTCATGGTGGGCTCAAGATCTGATACATCTGAACTCTCTTTTTCCTCTGATTCATAGTTATTACTTTTGGATGCGCCCTTTCTCCCCTGCTTAGAAACTTTTTTGGGTGTTCTTTTCCCTTTATCTCTACAAAATAAAAGATCACTCTTTAAGTAGAAAATATGAGAAGCAAAACAAAAGAACCGCACCACAGGTAAGTTATTACTCACGTCTTAATTGCTTTCTTTTTCTGTCCCGAGCTGCCAAAATTTTTAGTTTTACCAGGTGATCTGCAAAACATTCAGGGTGAGAAAGGAAAGTGGCATATACAGAACAACAAAATCGGTACTTTCTATACAATCAGCACCTACAAGCATTATCACTATTGACACCCGCAAATGCAGAAGGCCAGTGAAAGCAGATCTCTGATACAACAATACCAAACATTGAAGAAATGTGCACCATGCATTAGAAAGAAAAACTTACATATCTTTTGCAGGGGAACTCTTTGATGTATTCACTTTCTGTAGATTATCAAAAATAGCAGGATAAATATCAAGTCGTGATCCATAGCTATACCAAAAAAAAAAAAAAAAAAAAAAAAAAAAAAAAAAAAAAAAAAAAAAAAGGCGTGAACACTAGCTATACAAAAAAAAAAAAAAAAAAAAAAAAAAAAAGGAAACGAAAAAAAAAATAAGTGGGAAATGTTCCAAGAGAAGGTACGGATGAGAATCTCAGACCTTCACAGGTTTGCGACTATTGTCAATAACCTCCCAGCGCTCCTTTTCCAGACGAAGTACTTCAACATCTCCATCGTCATATAAAACCTTTCACAAAACATTGACGTGTAAAAACTATTTTAGAAAACTCTTAAAAAGAAAATTTTGAATCACATAACCTAATCAAAGAGAGATCTGGGAGGCTAAAACGTGAAACTTACCACATGCTTCTTTTTCATGGCGTCATATGACTTCACTGTGCCTTCATAAAATCTATAGATTTTAAGCAATAAAACCAATTCAATAATTGGTTTTCCAATAACTAATATACAATTAACTTTGAAAAATTATTAAACAAATCAAAACTTTTTTTACTGAAAAATTAGGTTTATCAATACTTGCACATGAAGAGCGAAAGGTTCAGAAAATCTTGTTTGATCTGCCGGACGGTTTGTATATTTTACACTAACCTTATCAATGTTTTAGCTGATTTCTTATACCAGTTTACTAGAGGGAAAAAAAATCTGTCAATATTTTTTTTTCCTCATTCATTACGAGACACTTACTGCTTATCCATAGGCCACCAAACTTTTATTCTGCAGCCAATCAAGTCTTCAATATCTTTTCCACCGTCTTTAAATTTACACTGAGGATGGGGAAAAAAAACAGGTGAAGGGTGCCATACTTCAGAGTAAAACTCTGAATAATTAAAATTGAGTGACCAATAGACCTTTTTTTTTTTTGCTAGAGAGCCACCAATAGACTTATGCAAGAAACAAAAAGACCATAGTATACACGTAGGTACATATACAGCCTACATATGTACACGTGTCTTTATGTGTAAAGTCAGGAAGATAGAAGAAAGACAACCCGCTTAAGGTTGGTGAAAACTGCCATCATGGTTTTGCATACGACATGCACCTTAAAATGCTAAAACTGAAAGTTGTATACTAGAGCAATTTCATAAGTGGCAAATCACTATACATTAATGAGACAACCAATATTGCATATGAAAGATGTATACCTTTGCCATAACCGAAATGCTTTTTCTTTTCCGCTTCTTCGCAGATCCCACAGAAACCTGGGTATCATAATCTGGGTCAATTTCCGGTTTTCATTTTCACATTTGGATTTTGGCTTCAGCAAGAGTAAGAGAAGAATAATTGTATATCTTACTAACAAAAAGCATAAGAATGGGTGGCATAAAAATCCAAAATATAAGTATTAATTAGCAGAGGAGAGCACCTCAAGGTCACTGGCCTCTCCAACTTCATCTGCCTCCTCATCACGACTCCGATCCAAACCTTTCCCTTTGCCTTTCGATGTCTTTTGAAAGCGCGGAGTCAACAAATCTGACTTGTTGCTCCCACCAAGCTTTCTCTGCAAAAGGATTTTGTAATTCAGATCAGGACAAATCTCAGGTTTCATATCAATATATTAAAATGAGAAAACTCTTACTTCAAGTAAATCATCCCCCGTATCTGACAATGGAGCCTTTGAAGTACTACTTGGTCTTTGACTGGACATTGACCTTCTTCGTTTAGGAACCGAAACAGATGTCTCACCACTAGCTTTTCTTTTTTCACCTTTTTGAAGCTTTAGATCAAGTCTTGATTTCATACTTGGGGAATGTTCATGACCATTGCTTGATGCAAACTTGCTTGATTTCCCCAAGTTATCCAAATTTATTTCTCTCACCATTTTTAGGATATCAACATCATTTTCAGCATTTCCTGTTTCAGCCAATGCAGACTTGTCCTTTTTAAACTTTTTGCCCTTGGCGCTATAAGATTTTATATGCTTGACCATTTTCCCCAGAGGAACTTCCTTTCCATCCGTTTCACTTTGTTTTAAAACCCCATCTTCAGCAATTTCTGAATCAAGCTGTTGTAAAACAGAAAAGGGAACAAAAAGAAAAGTAGAAAAGGAAATGAGAAGAAAGCACAAGTTAGTCAATCATGCAAGATAGAGTTTAAAAAAAGATATTGTTGTCAATCTTGAAGTGTTGTTAAGCAGCATAACATACTGTCTGAGTAGTTTCCAGCTTAAGTGACTCGAAGTGTGTCAGAGCACTGTCATCAGCCAGCCACGTTTGACCTTCAGCCTACCATAAACATCCAATTCATTAATCCAGATCTAATTTCATCACGGAGCAGCAGACAAAAGTTATATAAATATTAAATAGCATAAGTAAGCAAATAGGTATAGAAAGTATAGCAATATCAAAATTATATCTCAGTACAGTATAACTGACCACAGACTCGTCCCCTTCTTTCTTCTCATATGGTTTGTACATGATTGGAGGCAGGGGAACTGATGCAGTCGACCCTTGAACTTCATACTCTTTTGGAGCTAAGCGCTTAATAATTGACAACCCAAGGTCACAAATAGCATGCGAATTCTGAAAAATTCAACATCACACATAAGACAGTTTTGTTTTCTAATCTGCAATTGCAGAGGTGGGGATTATGATTAAAGATTCACAACCAATATGGAGAGGAGACAACTTAGCCTAACCTTTGACTTCGCTGCATCAACTATGTCTTCAGATTGTTTGATACTTCGGAAGATGGACATTACAGCAAAAATGGTTTCTTTTAGCATGTTGCTACTGGCCTCTGATTTAGTATCTTCATCTCTATGAACCATTATAGAAAGAATCAAGTACAACTGCCTGAAAATTACAGAAAGAACATGTTTCTTTGAGAAAAATAATCCAAATACCAGAGTAAATGCATCAATTCTACCTAATTTTGCAAACAGATATGGGGTCCTAAGATCCATGTCCCTACCATATCTCTAGTTGCTTTCTGTCTGGTCAGACATCAGTTGCATAGGGAAAAAGAAATAAATTGAAAGAGAGTTCCAGCTATATATAAGATGGGAAAGCTAAAGCCATGTAGCGTGTGTTGGCCAACTTAAACACCAGACAAAATATTAATTCTCTTTTCATCTTCCCAAATCACATTTGGACATCCACAGGGCAAGGAATATGCCACATGGAAGATATTTAGAAAAATGTACAAGATAAAAAATAAAAATAAAATAAAAAACATGATATACCTGTATAGTACTTCGAAAGCTTGGGCATCCTTGCATTCATCAACGTCAGGGCATGAATGATGAGCAAGAGCATGGACCAAGTATGGGATAATGTATTCAGGATAAGCTGTGAAGGAATTTGCATCGCTTTGAACAGAGAGTTGCCGCGCCCTTGTTTGTTGATACATCTGAATAATGTCAGCTAGGTTCTGTTTCTCCTGTCATTTCCGTCAAGAATAAAAATTATGCCATAAAGGAACCTGCATGGATAAATGACATTGAACCAAACAAGTATAGAACAAATACCTCTTGAAACTCAGATGGCTCAGATCCAAAAATATTAAACAAGAAAGCACAGACATATTTTCCATCCAGAAGCCGATCCCTTATGTAGTGGTGAACTTTGCTCAGAAATGCTTTCTTAGCTTCGGGGAAACTAATCTAAAAACACCAAAATAATAGTTAAGTGCTTGTAACCAGCATGTTAATTGCAAGAAGATAACAATGGAATAGCTATCTGAAAACATGAAAATAAATAACTAAATTGTAGACACTACAAAGAAAAACTTTTAGGCCTCACCTCTGATGTCCTCAAGGTTAAGTAGAAGATGTCAAGAGGTATTTTATCATCCCAGATCTTTGACAGACGAATGATTGCCTTTGCAGAAGCTAGCCGCAAATGGGCCTTGTCAACTGAACTGTTAATAGCAAAAATTTGTACATTAAGTTTCAAGCTACATTATACCAGTACCACAAGCAATAATTTTGAAACAAATTAATAAATCAAATAAACAAGAATGTATTTCGTAATAATATTACCTTGATTCTATTTCTTTTGACATTTCTCCAAATAAAAGAATGTTCCTGAGAATTTCTAGAAGGCCATTAATATTAGGACGAACATTCGCATCTTTGACAGGCAAGTAGCTTTTGACCAATGTCTTAATCCCAAATATCTGCCACCAAGAAGAAGAAAAGAAAATACTAAAGTCTAACACAATGCAAAGACACGTTCAGATAAAGCCAGACAATAAAGGGTTAAACCACAAAGGCATAAAAGTTCCCAGATAAAGTAGCCTTATTTGATACTTTTATTATGTCCAGACAAATAAAACAGCCAAAACCCAAAAATTATCAACCTTTAACAAACAAACTTCGCTTCTTTCATCCCAAGAAGTCTTCTTTCCACCTTCTTTCTGTAAGAATACACAATGCAAATGGATTAGAACTCATCAAAATAAAACCATAAATGGGAGATTCATTACGCATCTACTGAATTTAGGCAGGCATACATCACTGCATTTCAAGATCTTATTTATTATGAAGTCTTCAACTTCGCTCTCTCTGGTTTCAAAAACGGGCATTGCAGTCTGTGCTATACAACCCAGTGATTGCAGTACAGCAGGCAAATGTGACTTCTCCTCCAACATATCCACAAGTCGCTGCAAATTGAGAAACATCATGTCTCGTTAACGTTAACACTACCATGGATAGAGAAATTTCAACTGAATTGAAGAATTCCACCATGACTCGTGTGATAATAATATAAAACCTTGTAAAGAACAGAAAGTGATTTAAGTCCATCATCCTTTGTTATTGCTGCAAGGGCATGTACGGCATACTTTGCCTGCCTTCGACTGCCTTCTAAGCATACCCTCTCCAACATAAGGTCTATGGAACTGCACATAAACAACAATACATAAGCACGTGCACTAGGGAATGATTCATGATAAAATAATACCACGAAACACACCTTGTTGACACAGCTAGTTGTTCTCGAATGGTACCACCAGCCTTCGCTAAAACATGCAAAATACCTTCTTTTATAACTTCATCGCCATCTTTAAGAAAATTTATGAGTTCTTCTTCTGCCCCACTAAGTAGCATTGGGCTGAATCGTGCAAGAATCTGAAAATTGGTCAATACAACATTAAAATCTACTTTTGAGAAAACAAAAGGAAAGATCTAAACTTTACAGCCATAAAGCTGGAAACTCTTTCTAAAGCAATAGAGAGGGATATTGAAGGAAAAAAATAATGTCAAACACCATATATACGTCTCGCTTTAGAATACTTTTAGCCCACAAAATGCAATTATTTTGCGCCCCTAGATAGGATAAACAATCACAGGCAAGATACAAGAAGATGTCACATAGTTGTTGACCAGTGAACTGGGGCAATGCATGTTTATGGTAGTATATGAAAAGAGATTCAGGAGTGATATGCTCTTACCACCAGTATATTCATGCATGATGAAGTATACAGTGAATTCCCAATAGACCTTTGAGCGGCAACCTCCAGAAGAAGTTCCTTCACATGCTCCTTGTTGAAAAGTAGATAAGAACTCTTCAAGGAGAGAGTGCTAAGAAAATCGTACAAACGGTGCTTCTCACCAAGAATCTTAAGCAAATCATCCTGCAAATAAGTATAAAAAATTCTATAAGGAGGCACGATTCTTTATCTTCAAGTGAAAGCAAGGCAAGCACATGACAACTAGGTTAAGGATATCAAAACAGCAAAGTACACGTTTCTCATTCAATTGAATCAAATTATTCAACCATGGATCTGAAATGCCAAATCAATTGTAGGCTTTGCCATTTGAATATAATTCACTCTAAAATGTCGTAGGCTGAATATAATTCTAAAATGTTGCACCACCAATAAATTATACTTACCCGGGAAGTAGAAGCTTGATGGAAGCTAGTATTTGGATCAACAAGACTCGTAAGAATCTTCCAGATGTTAGCATCTTTCAACTGATCAAGAATCTGAAAATTCTCTTCAGCCCTTATCGGGTCAGCAAATGAGCGTGACATCATGCGGAAGCAATAAAGAACTTTTTTTTGGATCTCCGGAGCATCACCATCCTGCATTTGAATGAGAATAAAACAATTTTCTTTCCATAACGTTTTTAATAGTTCAGATTTTTCTAATGTCTAATATCTTGCAAACCTGATACGTCTGCCGAAGAGACAGATACCTCTGTGTCTCTTGTTGTAACCTGCAACCCAAGAGGAAACCTCCTGAAAATCAGTTTATAATTCATCAAAGACCACAAGTGAAAGTTTTAAGGCTGATCAAAAGTTGCAGCCTGGCGAGCCAAGAATTTACATGATACCTTTGCTTCTGCTCCAGAATCTTCTCAAGAGCCTTTACCTCAACCTTGTCAAAGCCTGAGAAGACTCTTACCCAATGTTGAACTTTATCTTTGATTGAAAATTCAATTGGGAACAGCAATCCACAAAGAACAGATTCAATTGTATCAGATCTGCATAATGAAGTATTTGAAACATGAAAATCCAACATTCAGAACTTAATTGGGGAAGGAGAAAACTTCGGAGAGTCTTCTGAACCTTCAAATTGGCCATAGAATTAATTTCTCCGGAAAAAGAAAATGCCTTTACCACCCAGCTTTCTTTATTGTTGATGTTTATGTTCCTTAATAAATTAAGGAAATGAAAATGGGATCTGAAGGCCTACTAATATTGGTACTGTAAACTGCACAAACTGTAAGGCTTTACCTGAAATCTTTGTCATAGTAGCATCTCAAAATCTTTCCAGGAATCCAATCGAATTCATTAGTCTTGATTGACCCATCAGCACACTTCAAGCAATAAACTCTGTACATCTCAGCTAACCTCTCCATGGTATATTTTTTCACAAGTAGCTGCAGATGTGGACAGCAAGGAAAATAAGTTGGACAGATAGCCATCAGCGGATGGGCAAAATCAAATGAGAAGAAGACAAAAAGAAATATTTACAGATTTGTCACGAAGACGTTCAGCAACAAGTTTCACGGTTTCCAGTGGAATGGAACTTAAATCATGGCATGCCACATCACAAATAACAGCAACAACTTGCTTTCTTACTTTATCGTCAAAGTCCAACAGCCGGTCACAAAGTGCAGCTAGAAAATTTTATTTGAAGACAATGAGAATTGAGCAATAGACAAATAGATTTGTACAACATTCAATGCACTTACAAATAATTTGGGGAGCTTCAGCTTTGGAAGCATTTGACAGCAGACAACTCTTCACATGTTCGAGAATGGACATCCTAACAGTAACAACTCTATCAGTCAACCTCTTCAAAAACTCAGAAAAGATTGGCTGAAAGGCCTCAGAGATAGTGGAGCCCGGTAAAGCAAATAGGTCACCAACTAAGCCAACTGCCTTGAGACGAGTATCTAGCTGGTCAGACTGCAAATATTGAAAGTTCTCAGTGAGAAACAATTTACAAAAAATTCGCGCAAATCAACTTTAACATAAGAAACTATGATTGAACAGAACAAACATCCTCAAATAATCAGCAGCAACAACTTCATGTCAGGAAACAGATATCATTAAACGCGATATGTAAAAAGGGAAGAAAAATCAGTATAATCCTCTGACTCAGTATTTACCAGTAGTTCTCCTGTTAGATATGGTGCAACACCTGCTATGATCTGGGGAGCGCAACGGTATACATCGTAAATCACTTCATGAAAATCAATCTGATACTTTACGGACTTGCTATCTCCTGACATTGATGATATAAGAAATTGTTTGATGCCAGCTTCAAGTTTCCCTGCACATTGTTCTATAACATTCATAGCAAGCCTCCTCGCCGCCATACTCACATCCTGGAATTAAAATATCACGAAGGCCATAGAAAATAACATGAGAAGTAGGGAACCCATGTGTGACTACAAACATAGCAGCAAAAATCTAGGGAAATTCATACACTTGTAACAAAAAAAAAATGTGTATGCTAAGGTAGGAAGAAATCCTTACACTTTTATAACGACCCAATACAGACAATAAAATAAATAAAAGATCCTCTCGTATTTCCTCACTGTCCTCTAAAAGAACGATCATAATGGTCTGCATTGATGAAATAACACTTTCCGGATGATCATCACTGCATGTCCCAGAAAATTTGACGGTATGGTTATTAACCAAAAATAGATAAATGTATGAAAGAGTGCAAAACTTTAAGAAAACCGATTGCCAAACTGATTAGAGAAGAAATAACCATTCTCTATTATCAATTGGATAAAGCCAACCAGAACAATATAACCAAAGAAATGAGAGCTACCATTTTACCAGTTCCTGTTACCTACATTAACTTCTTCTACAAGTTTCAAACTCATTAGAGAGATCCTAAGTAATTTTCTTGTTAAGATTCTAATTTCCAACAATGACATAATTGGTCAAGCAGTTGATTCACAAAGTACTTGAAACAAAACAGAAAAAAAGGCCATCTCTGCACATATCCCATTAAAAAAAAATTATAAAAGAGAAAAAAGAAAAGAAAAAGTCATTTTCTCCTTGGCCACAAATTTTACCAATCCATCCAAAGAGCCTAAATGATACCTCATAACAGTCATTTCTATCCATAGAGGAACTATACATAAAGTGACTAAGACAAAAATCCAAACCACTTAATCATCATTGACTATGAACAATGATGTCCCTTATCAGACATTTTTTGTACGTATCCCTATATTTAGATTGGGGGAAAAGGTATAACTATCTAAGACGAAAAGGGCTTTAGAACAGACCTTTTTGCATATATAAGTATCAAATTATTATCAAGACAAGCACATATTCCTAGTACTTCTAACTGCATTTAAATTTAAGGAGCAGAGGAATAAAACAAACCTGGCAACAGCAAGAAACGTACTGAACATATCATTAACCAGATCATCACATTCAAGATCCAACATTACAACACATGATCTATATTTCGCAAGAGTCTCCAAAATGACAACCCTCCTACCAAATGATGGACCGCTTGTGTCACGTAATCCATCAAAAATGCCAACAATCAAGTGAAAAATATCCTGCAAACAGATCCGGCTCAAATTAGGTGGAATATTACAAAACTCTAGGGATGACAAGAAAATGAATGAGCTGCATCTATTAATCAGTTCACTTTTGTAAGAAATTCACCTTTAGAACATCATCACTATAAGGAGCTTCAGGTGCAGTAATTCGCGTTATCTCACAAACACATGTTGCAACTAAAAGCTTGACATCCCTATCTTGATGCTTCAGCAGTTCTGGCTTAACAACTGCATCGAGGAAAGGCTGCATTGACTCTAGCATCGATGCAGACGGCGATTGGTCCAACTCAGAAAGGCATGTTGCAGCTTGCTACAATTGGAAAAATAAGCCAAAAATTACGAAGCAGCCAAAAGTTATCAAATATCTTAACTTCACGGGAAAATACACACGTTTTTCTTTATATAAGGATTAAGGAAATACAGATGTTTTATGGACTAGGTTTAAGCATTATCCACAGATATATCTAGAAAGATCTACAACCTTCAAAGGGGGACCCTGAATCAGCTATTTTGCTTAGTGCAAATGAGTAATTTGATCTCTAGAAACAATAAAACGTAAGAAATGGGCTGTTTTCCCAGATTCTTCGGCATGCAGACAAAACATTAGCTTCTGAAAAGTAAACCATCCCTAAAGCAACAGAAGATCAAAATTCGAACCTTAAAAAAATCAAAATCATCGGGAATAACGACTCGACGTGATTCAATAACCAAAATGGAAAAAAAAAAAAAAAAAAAAAAAAAAAAGGAGCTAATCCTTTATACAGAGCCAGTATATTATCCCAGCTCAACAGAAATCTGAAATCTCCCAACAAAAATTAAGTTTAACAAAATTGAAATCTCTAGCCAGACAAATTAAACTTGTCCCGCCCAACTCCCAAATTAAAATTGAATTTGAAACCAAATCTTGAGAAATTTTCAACCTTTAACTCGAAAAGAACAAAACCGATCGCCAGCTAAACCCTAATTCACCTAGTTCGCTTTACTTACTGGAGCTGAAAAATTCACTCTCGGAGGAAATTCAAAGAGGGGAAGAAAGCTCTGGAAAGAAAAATAGCGCACAAAAGTCATTACTTTCCGAGAGTTTCCTTCGACTTTCTTCACTGAATTTTGACGGAAACTAAACAGAAGCTAACTGAAATAACTACCCCGACCAGAGGCTGACTTCTCGGCCAAAAAACGAAACAAATTTTGGAAATTGATTGAGAAATAGCTCGAAGAGGAAGAGAAAGTTGAAAATTTGAGAAAATGGCGAACCTTCAAGAGCTTGACGAGAGCGTCTTTGGTGGAAGGAAGGCTCTCAAGCTTGGATCCCAACTCCTTGAGCTGCTGCTCAAGCTTCTGAGCCATTTTCTTCGTCGAGCTAGCGGCGTCGTTTCAGAGCTTCGGAGCTTTCTCGCTCATCTGGTCGACGAGGGTTGAGAGAGTTTGAAAGTCGCGAGGGAGAGATAGAGAGAGAGAGGAGAGAGAGAGAGAGAGAGGCCTGGGATTTCTCTGTTTTTTTTTCCCCCTTTTGTTTGTTTGGGTTTCACTTCTCTAGCCGAAAAAGGGCTTTTCCAACAACAAAACGAAATGAGCTGCAAATGAAGCGAAATTGCACGGATATACTTCTACTTCGTATGTACATTATTATTATTATTATTATTATTATTATATATACTCAAGGAAAGGCATTTCACACTTTTGCACGGTCCACAATTTATTACTCGTTTATTTTACTGATTTGAGTTTTAAATTTTTATAGTAAAAATTTTTTAAAAAATATCACATTTAATTTTTTCTGCTGCAGTAAAAAATTTTTAAAAAATATCACATCTCAACTCAAATTAAAAACTCAAATCCACAAAGTGAACGAGACATTTATGCTGCCGAGTTTTGCCCTTTCCCTTTCTTCTCTTCTCCTTTTTCTGTGCGTGGGTCTTTGTGTCTTTTCATGCCATATGTTGTGATTGTACGTTTTTATCCCTATCTTCTAATGTTTCTATTTGTTTTCAGCTTGGACTTTTCAGTCATTTCGCTTGCCATGATGCTCTAGGCCTCATGTCTTTGTTGGATGACTTTCATTTTCATCTCCGTGAAAACCTTAGCATGCATTTCTTACTTCTTCCTCAGTGGCCGATTTGAATAGGTAAATCTCGAATTTTTTCTTCCCTCTAGAGATTTTTATACTCACTGATTTCATATATGAGTTTTAGCTAAATCAATCTCCTTTGCATTTATTGATTTGGTGCTCTGTAGTGATGATCTGTAATACTTAAGATGTTGATTTGTACTGCTCTGTTGATGATCTGCATCGTTTTTGTTGCATACGCATTAAATAAGTTTGTGATTTTTTCCCTTTTATTGTCTGAAATATGTAGAAAATCTGAGAAACAAATTTTTTTCTTTTTTTAACTTTTTTTCCTCTTCTCTGAACTGATTATCGTTTAGTTTTTTTTTTTTTTTTCTTTCCTGACTTTAATCCTATACTACTTTTATCATTTCATTTAATTAAAAAAAATTTCCCAATATTTGTGCACTGACTTTGAACTACTGCGTGTAATATTGTCATTGGTTATCTACAGTTCAAGTCTAATTTCTTGTTCTTTGTTGTTGTTGTATATTAATTTGTTGTGTAAATTATTCTTTCTTTTTTCTTATACTTTACATCTTTCTTTTTCTACTTTATCGTTGATCATTTACTACTCTATTTTACCTTAGCTTGTTTACTGCTCCCTCATTTTAACTCTGTCTCTTGCACATCTATTTAGTTAGCTGATATTCCTTATTTAAGGTAGTATTCACAACATTCCACACACTATTAATAACTTTTGTCCATATGTTCTTAATATATGTTGTTGATGTTGAATGTATTGGTTTGTTGTAGTGCTATTACTTTGTGTTGTTTCTTATAGTGCTAAAAAAATTTATTTTCATTGTCAATAAATGTTAGTAATCTATGATTGTCTTTTTATGTGCTCCATTAGTACATAGTATTAATATATTGACTTGTTGTTTATTTATTTTATAGTGGTATATATATATATATATACACACATGTATTTTTACTGAACATATTTTATCTTTACTTAGTTTTGATATGCGGCAATGATGATTATAATCAGTTTTGACCTATTGAGTTCCATGCAATTTGTCCAAAAATTGTTATGAATATATTTTCCTCATATGGATTCTGACTTTGTCTATACTTTTTTACTAAAACTATTTGAATATCTTTTTTTTACTTATTCTAATATTTTTGGTTTCTTGGTTGCTCCACTTCATCTTAGTCTATTTACTATTTTATAGAAAATGAAAACGGTTTACAAATCGTGTTTGTTTAGTAAATATTTTAAAAATGAAAACGAAAACAAAACACAATGAGAATGATTTTTAAGAAGGAATTAAAAAACGATTAAAAGTTATTTTCTCTTTTCTGTTTTTACTTTCTAATTATTGTTAATAATATTATAATATATT